TTCAACGTTCGTCCGGCCATGGTATTGACAAACATCAAATCATTGAAAATTTGACATTTCTCCTTTGATCCATTTTCGAGTGGCTGGGTTAGTAGGGTTTTGGTTAAACACGTTAGCAATCTTCGCTCTGAAGAACTGAGTGTTTTCCTCTTGACTGCGCAAGGCTTCAAATCTCCACATTTCTTCAGTCTGCGTTGCGTTCCCAGATCCGTTTATTTGAGGGGCACGAAATGAGAGAAGCGAGAATAACTCATTCCGAAGTGGTGGAGACACCATTGTGAGCAAATAGCTTCGACCGTCCGCAAAGAATATTTCCAGCGCAACGTCGCGGAACAAAAATCGCCGCTTCGATACGCTGATCACCTCCGCCCATTTCCAACTTCTGGTTTCATGTTCTCCATTATTCACTCGTCGGTCATCTGATTGGCGGCCAGAAATCATGCGAACGTAAGGATCCCGCTCTTCAGAAGGCGCTTGCCTAACATTGACGACTTCACCATCAGCCCGTTGAAAAAAGTTATCCAGAATATAAACCGAATCCTTCCCGAGAATTAGGAGCCCTTCACACGCTTCTAGCCCCTCAATTCTAGAAATATTGCAAACATGCTGGACTTGGTCTCCCCGATGGAGACTTCTCATGACCTTCCTATTCTTGTCCTCATAATCACTTTGTCCATCCAACGGGTCCTCTATCATTTCATAACTACCCTCAAGGCCCGATCTGTCATCATGATCGCTGTTGGGCGCGTCCGTTGGACCTTCGACTTGAGATTCAGATTCAGTAGGCTCAGCAACCAAAGGAGTGGGTGTGATTCCAACCATGTCTTGTTCAACAGCACGGACTCGTGTGTCTAGTTTAATACTTGGATGCTCATGTAATGTTCTGCGCTTTGGTTGGTAATTTTGCCCTCCAGCCGTGTCATCTGGAGTTATTCGGAGTCTCATCCTATCCCTTCCTTCAGTCTGGTCAAGGCGCCATTTGGTCTCAGTGCTTCCAGCCAGGATCCCATTATCCAGCCTCAAATCACGGTACATTTTGGCAAAAGATGAAGATAAAAATGCTAGGTTGTCCTGTTGGTCTTGTAGGGATCGTTGGTGCTTGAGATGTTCAGAGGTAGAAATGTTAGATGTCCAGTGCTCATAGGTGGTATCATGTTTGCGGATTATTTCCTCCTGGGCGACATCAACTTGATTCCACAGTTTCAATTTATCCTTTCTCTTTGAAAGCCTTACCCGTGCACGCTCATCAGTTTTGTTGTTTTCATCACGAACAAAGGCTTCCCATTTTTTTGACAGAGCACCAAAGAAAAACAGGTCAAGATCATCGCGTTGGTCATCAACCCAGCGCAGGAAACTATCGTCATCTAAACCAACAAGCTTTTGGAAACCGGAAAACAAGCGTTTTTGAAGGGAGGAACCGGCATAGTTCAGGAGCGCTGACATCTCTGATGGCTTCTGTACCAAATGCACCCGCCACAAGTTTGCAGCAGCCACTCGAACATCTTCATCGTCTGTAACTAATTTAGAATACAGCAAATAGCATATCAAAGGTAAGTATTCTGCCTGCGGCTCTTCAGTTGACAGAATTACTGTTTGCCAGTAGGTTAGCTTCTTGAGAAAGTCGAAGGCGTCCGACGCCTCTGCCTCAGAGAGCCGAAGTAACACCGTGCGCGAGACCACTGATCGGATCGAAGAGATTGCCTGACTACAAAGTCGAATGCTTTTTAGATTCGCAACGTCGGGCTGCTGCAAATATTCGAGGATTGGCCCGGCAAAATCTAAAATGGAAATCGCGCCGTCTATAAACCAACCCTCATAAAGAATTTCCACAAGGTGTGTTAAAAGCTTGGAGACGTTTGTTAAAACCCGAGGTTCCCAGAGAAGTTTCCGGTTTAATAAGATAGTATTTTTGAGTTGAGATAGTACATTCCGAAGGACCCAAGACTCAAAATATGTCTGGTGTTCAACGAACCCTGGAGGAGTTGCCAAGTGGAGCGCCAATTCGAAGTCCTTTCTTGTGAGCACTTGGTCAATGATAACCGCCACAACCACTTCCAAGACCCCTTGCACAATTGAATGGGCGGGAGGAGTATTCACCCTCTCGGATTTCAGGGCAACGGCCTGGTGAAGTCGAGCCAACGACGGAGCGTGCTGAGATTTATCGGATGACACGAGAACGAAGGAAGAGCGCCGTATAAGGCCATTGTCACCGTCGGGAGACTCAGAATTCTCTACCGTTGTGGTGCGTAGAACCGGACGAGCATTTGAAAGCGGGCGGATAACCACATCGCGCGTTCCAAATGTCAGTCCGGAAGACTGAGAATGCAGCTCTACATCGGCGCTAACTGCATCTGAGCCAACGACGACTGGAAACAGGAGGAAAAGAAGGTCTTGCACATAAGAAGACGTAATAGTAAAGTCACGAAAATGCTGAGACTTGACATGAATATCGGCAAGAAAGCCAACGACTGTGTTTAACAGCTCAATATTTGACCCAGAAGAGGTGTTGATAGTACTAAAGTCTAAGCAAAAGGCCAGTTAGATTGTATGACATACGAGAAATGGGATAAAAGAAGCAAGCAATAAGGTTTAA